CTAAAATAATGATTAAATAAAAAGGTTTTGACCTGGTGCCAAAAAGAATATAAACTTGGTGCCACATGAACCTCTCCAGGGATTGCATTCCACAATCTATTAAAAATAGATTTTAATAAATTTATTAATTTATTTTAAATAAAATATTAATTATTTTAAATATTAAATGTTGATTCTTTAAACATCTTAAAAATATTAAAGAACTGATGACAAATTTAGTAACAACACTAAGATTAATAATAGCAAGAAACTGGAAAGTAAAAGGTGACTGTCAAATAAATGATTGGTATAAAGAAATCTAGAATATAGCTATTTACAATAAATTAACTTGCAAAAAAGGCTTGATAAGTAAAAATAATTTTGAAGATATTTGGAGGCCTTTTATTGAATATATTTTAATAAAGGGAAGGTGGGTCTAACACCGCAAGATTCAATGCATTTTTGGAAGGGAAGTGGGAATGATTTTATACTTAGTGATGTTGGACCTGGTGGAAGGTAGCAGTGTTCGTATTGCATTATTTAGCCATTACTGTTGCAATTAATTTTATTATTTGCATTGTTTTATCCTTGTGTAACGATCAGTTTTGTTTTTATTGTTCATGAACTGCTCTGTTGATGCTGTTCTGGTAGAAGCATCACTCCACTCTGCGAAGTTATGTCTACTTAAGAGGAGCATATGGCTACAGACGCGACATCACCAGCAGGGTACACATCCCGAAAAGCCCCCGTCCCCCAGTCTGCCCCCCACCCTCTACTCTGCTCCCATCATGTCCCTGGCATTTCTCAGGGCTGTCAACAAGCCCCCCACTGTTGCCTTCCCCTCTGAATCCACCCACACCCGCTGCTGCCAAGCACAAGGTGCAGGAGATCCAGTCATGACTTCCCACAGATCTGGGAGGACCACCTGAAGAAGGTTTACTGGTAGATGCTCCATCCTGGCACGGACGCCAGCCTACTTCCCGGGAGTGGACACGTCAGCGTGCCCACTTGGCTCCCTGCCCACCGGTTTGGGTGGTGAACGGGGCCATGGCCTGGAGGCTCCCCCCTGCAGTGCCAGAAGCAATCCTCGTGCCTTGCCGCAAGGTGGCCACGCACGGAGGTGAATAGGAAGAGGTCCGTGCAGCTGGGGAGAGGCAGTGCCAGGCACAGTGAATGGTGGGACTGGGGACCTGCGTCCAGCATCGGCTTGGGTCCTGGTTACCTGAAGGAGCGCTTACATCCATATATGCCCGACCGCCCCTTGAGATCTGCGGGATAGGCCCTTCTCCAGGAACCCTCCGTGAAAGAAATTAGGAGGGTGGGTACTCGGAGGAGGGCTTTCTCTGCGGTGGCGCCCAATCTATGGAATGCACTCCCCAGAGAGGTCCCCCTGGTGCTGTCGTTATTTGTTTTTGGCGCCAGGCAAAGACCTTTTTATTTAAGCGTCATTTTAATTGTTAACAATATTTGCTTATTTATCTGGCCAGGGCGACTTCTTTTATATTGTTTATTTATTTTATATTGTTAATTTTAATTTGTATATTGTTATTTTTGTATTTTATTGTATTTTATTGTGTTGTAAGCCATCCTGAGGCTTCGGCAAGGGGCGGCATAAAAATGTTTTAATAAATAAAATAAATAAATAAATCTGTCAGCAGGGACAGGGTGCTGTGGGGGTCAGGAATAACATGTGTGCATGGCGTTCGGGCAGCAGAGCCCACACGCCAGCAGAAGAGCCCTCGAGCTGCACTCCCCCTCGAGCTGCCTGGGTTGCTCCCTGCCGCAGCCACCCCTTCCCTGCACCCGGGCCCTCCATGACGCTGAAGAAACAAAGCCTTGCTCTGCAGCAGCAAGTGCTTCTTTGAGGAGGCCTAGCCATGGGGCTGGGTGGAGGGGGATGAGGGGCAGCACCGGATGCATTGCTCACAGTGCAGCCCGGCAAGGGAAGGGGCGGGGGCAGGCGACCCTCCTCCACGTGGTGGATGGGGGGTAGGGTTGGGAGTGTGGGCGTGGGGCACTGAACCAGTCTGGATGTGGCCGTGGGTTCGGATGGGGCGCAGGAGGAGGGCACCTGCCCTTCCAGGTCCCTAACGCAGGGGGGAGGCAGCCCCTCCCAGCAGGTGCAAGGCCTGCGCACAGAGGAGCACGGACAGATCCGCAGCAGGGGAGGGGAGAGGTGGAACGGGGAGTGGGAATGAAGCACTGGCACGGAGCATGTCGGCAAAGGGGAGTGCTACTCGAGGGCAACTGTGCTTCTCCAGTTAGTAAATTGTAGCCTTGACTGCCCAGGGCCAAAGGAAGCAGCTGGCTGGAGACACCCCCAGGGAGCATGTGGACCAATGAGGGAGAAGCGGGCAAAGTGGGCAGAAAGAGTGAATTTCAGCTGCGGGGGATGATGGGATGCCTGTCGCTGTTAGGAAGACTCACCGAGGACTGTGGAAACCATGCAAGCATGGCAGCAACCCCGTTGTCTGAGCCCAGCAACCAGGTAAGAAACCACACCGCAGGGTAACTGCACAGCAACCATGTGGCATGGGTTAGTGTTACGTGTGAATGCAGCCACTATGCTCACTTGCTCTCTGAGTGCTTACTTGCTTGTAGTCCCTAGGCTCGCGCTCTCTCTCCCTCTGGTTGTGTAGCCCCTAGACCTGCCAGCAATGCTTCATCTCATCTGCTCCACTCCACTAGGAGTAATGAAACAGAATCTATTCGTTCATGAAATATCCTTTCTAGCAATTGGGTGTGTGATTTCTGGTCATTCATTGCAGCTTGGAGGGGCATGTCATGCACATTGCATTATGCACGTTTCTTGAAATTAGAGAGGGAAATGCAGTTAGACTGGCTGATCGTGGTAACACACTCATCTTAGAGCATTGCAGGAGCTTCCAGTAGATAAAAAGATCTTGAGGATCTTAGCTATGCAAAGCACACGCTCTGTCAATGAGTGATGTCCCTTCCACTGTTGCAATCCCAAGAAAGCTGGAGGGATGGAAAAATGAGCTAGACTGGTTGGTCATGCTAGCTGCCTTTTCTCAGAGATCTCTCCTATGGCGTTGCTGTAGAGAAAATCTTCCAGGAATATGTAGCAATCAGGTTATCTCAAGTGTACATACGCCCATGCTTATATCAAAAAACAATTTTTGCAAGGGTTGCTTGCACAATGCTGCAAAGTATAGCCCAATTGTGCAGAATATGATTGGCTGTTTGGAAACTTGCTGAGGGTGGGATTTGATGACGATTGCACTGGACCATAGTGAAGACTTCTGCATATAGGAGTCCCTTAGCCAAGGTTCAGAGAGTAGGACGCAGGCAGGAGCCGTGTGAACAAACCATCTCAGAAATACCATATGAACTAGGTGAGCAAATATTCATGCCATGTTTTGAAAACTGTGTTTTTCGATGTATGTTACTTGTTGCTAGTGTGTTTTCCTACTACCCTTGAAGGTGAGAAATGAGGATTTCTTGTCCAGTTGAAGAATTTGCAAATTGGGTAAGTTTTCTGATCAAAGAGGAAGTGAATGAGCCTCTGCTGTGAATTACAACAGGGACAGGCAGTGCAGAGTAGAGAGGTCCCTCAAAGCCTAGGTGGATGGAGCTGCCAGCTTTGCTTTCTTATCCCACTGCATTTTTAAATCTTGCAAATTTTGAAACCTTGCAAATCTGGTCCATTCTCATCAAAAAAAAAAAAAAACTGAACAAAATTCTCATCCATCCTCAGTATGTGGCCATTGCCTCTTCCGTGGGCCACAACACTTCCTTAGCCTATGCTCCAGGCAAACATTTTGAATTGACTGGACAAGGTGCTAACTCTCTGCTTGCTTGCCCATCCAAATAATGCAGATAGAGGTATATCAGAAATGGGTTGAGCAACAGTTCCTACTGAAGCCAAATGGGAAAGGATACGGAGACAGATGTGCTGTGGTTACTTTACCCCACCACAGTTTAACACATCAGTGCTTTTCATGTTTCAGCAAGACCTCATTGCTCCCATTCCTGGCGTCAAGAGAATAGCAAGGGTTTGTACCAAACAGTCTGAAAACCTCAGCAAGTTTGATCGTGCAAGTTGTAGCCCTAAATAGAATACTTCCCGTCTTTGCCTTGCAGTGGTACACCTGCAAGGCAAACACTTCAAGACCCCCCTTCTCAACGGGTGGCAGGCAAACATGTCATTAAATCACTGCATTTTGTCCATTTTCTTGCATTCCTTGTGCTGCTGAGTAGAGGATGACGTTGCAGGACACACTGCAGTGTGTGTGTGTTTGGAAGCCTGTTGAGGGAGGTCTATGCCAATAATTCAGGCTGCACTTTAGTCTCCTGGCATCCATGACTCTCGATTCAGAGAGTTAGGAAGGGGAAAATCTCTGTGTGTTGAGGGGTAACACCTACCAAGTATAGGTACTATATTAGGAGTGACGGATGATCTAAGTGACCCAATATGAGAGCCACTATGGATGCTACATTCCAAAAACAGTGTTTTTGTGCGTGTTTCTTGTTGCTCGTGTCTTTTGTTGGTACTCTTCAGAGAAAATGCAATTTTGCTTGGTTGCATTTCACATGAACTGCATTTGCTAAGTTTTTAGAAAATAGAATGCAAGGGAAATTAAACTCACCCCAGTGTGCCCCGTCCAAGTGCAACATGCAGCCGGAGAAGGGAGGAGGCAGTGGCACAAGGGTTCTTCAGGTGAGTCCGTGAAGCGCATCCTGTGGGGACATGCCGGTTCTGGTCCTCCACTGGATGACTCGCATATCCAGGAGTGGCGCATGTAATCAACACCTTGGGGCAGCCCAGCAAGAGCTGGCAGACCTGGGGAGCACAACCTTCCCCACAAGTGGACAGAAGAGCCCCGTGCTGGCTGGCAGTTATACAACCTGTTTGATCTAATCATGTTGAAATTTATGGCGTAAGTCACTGAACTTTTGTAATGCACATGCTGCCGTTTCTTTACAGGTTGCATCCAGAGAAGCACAATGTTTCATTTCAAAGCATGTTTGCTTTTTGCCGGGCTCTTTGTTGTCGCCAGTCCTTCCAGTCATCATGGCACTTTGCCCCAACTGAAGATCACGGAAGGCAATCTTGACTTTGCCTTTAACTTCTACCACAAGATCATTGCAGGGTCTACTGATAGCAACGTTTTCTTTTCTCCTCTGAGTATTTCATTTGCCTTTGCGCTGTTGTTACTGGGGGCCAGATCTACTACGAGGAGTCAGCTTTTGTCAGGGCTTAGCTTGAACCAGATCAGTGAGCAGGAAATACATAGAGATTTTCATCGTCTTCTCATATTTCTAAACCACCCTGATAGTGAAATTGAGCTGAGCATTGGGAATGCTGTTTTCACACTTAAAGAAAAGAAGCTCCTAGATAAATTCTTGAAGGATGTCAAGAAATTTTATGAGGCAGAAATTTTACCTACTGACTTCAAGAACCCTGCGGAAGCCGAGAAGCAGATCAATAGCTACATAGAGGAGAAAACCCACGGAAAATTAGTTAATGTTGTCAAGGATCTAAGCACAGATCTTGTAATGGTTATCGTAAACTATATTTTCTTTAGAGGTAAGGGACTCTTTTCTTTAAAGGTAATAGACTCCATTTTTATTACTACTACTGCAACAGTGTTGTCAAATACCAATTGTATAGCCATAGTTTAAGCTGTGGTTCCAGACACACTCTGTTTTGGCAGATCTGGTGCTCCATTCATCTGGTGCTATTAATGTAATGCCGTAAGTCACTGGAACTGACAGTTCTCAGTCCTTGTCACAGTGAAGTTTCCAGCATCACAAACAAAACTGCCCTTCTACAACATCTTTCCCCAACTTTATCAAGATACTACAGATAACATCCTTTACCATAAGTTCAGTGAAGAAACAGGGCTGCAGAGACTGGTTTTCAGCACTGCATACTAGAACCCAGGGTTATCCCATGAAACTGATGGGTGGAAAGATCAGACAGAGAAAAGGAAGTATTTCTCCACGCAGTACATAGTTAAACTATGGAACTCATTGCCGCAGGGAGTGGTGATAGCCACCAATCTGGATGGCTTTAAAAGAAGATTGGACAGTTTCATGGAGGAGGAAGGGGCTGTGAAAGGCTACCAGCCTTGCTGGCTATGTGCTACCTCTGATTTCAGAGGTATTGGCAGTAAATCTCTTATACCCATCCAGCTTCAGGGAGCCTGTGGGCAGCTGGATTGCCACCATGTGAATGGAGTGCTGTACTACCTTGGTCTGATCTGGCATGGCTTTTCTTATGTTCTTACGAACCTATGTCCTTCCAAAGCAGGAGCTTTTGTCATTGACCCAAAATATGACAAATATACTCTACTGCTGCAGGAAATACAGTTAAGCAGGCTGTGGTCCCACTGAATGAGCAGAAACCAGAAATGTTATAGCAAAGTATCACAGCCCACCAGTACTTGTATATCACACCCAAAAAGACATCCAAAAAGGGAAGGGAGTAACATTGGCTTGCCAAAATGGGGGACCTTTGGAATTCCATATTTCATGCAGCAGAGAAAGAGGTTATCTCCCCAGATAACACCTTGCCCATGGGAGCTCTGATAACAGGGGTACAACTGCTCCTTGTCTACACCTTTATGCTGCCCACTTTTTATCTTCCTCAGGAGCAGCAGTGCTGAAGAGGCCAAGCCTATTTTCAGGTCCAAAAATGCAATGCTCAATTAGAACCCCAAGGTCTACCTGGAGGCACAAACATTCCACTCTCCCCTTTCTTCCAGTTCAAGTGTAGAGTCTGATGAATCCACCTGGGGAAACCGTATTTTGGGAGAAGCAGATCCACTTTCTGCAGCAATGCGAGTTTCATTTGTGTGTGTGACATGAATCATCTAAAATTGTCCCCATGCCACCAGTTCCTTCATAACCCCATAAATGCTCTTTTTGTCATAAAGAACATAAAGATGCACTTTTGAGCAGTTTCTCCCTATAAAAAGCCTTTGTTTGAATGTGTCCCCTAAGAGTTACAATCAGCATAAGAATGGATTTCAGCCTGTAGCCCGAAAAGGTAATTTGAGACTTAACCCTTCCTGTCTCAAAGCACAATCTGGGTACCACCAGTTTGGCCTATTCGTTCCTAACAGCATAAGAAAAAGTCTCAGCCAATTAACTTCATCTGCCAGTGCCACCTTCAGCATAACTGTTTCTCACAACAGATATTTATGTATTTCAAATTAGTCCTTTGCTTCTCTTTCTGGCAGTCAAAGGAGTCTAAAATGATCTGTTGCTCACCTCCATTAGTGCTCCAAAGTATCCGGAGGACAAAAGTACTCCCGCAAGATAATTTATGCTGATTTGGGGGCATAAAATGTCCCGGGCATGTTTGCTCCTTTATACAGTTGTGCTGAAATCTATTGAGTCAATTGAAGGCTAAGATATTGAAAAGTTGTCCTCTTCATGTCATAAGATATTTTCCATCTGGTGTGAACTTCAAAAGGGAAAGCTGAAACTATCCACAATTCTGAAAGGGTGTATTCAAGTCCTGGTAGGCAATTGAATTTGGAAATTGCATGACATTTCTTTTTGCTTCTCACATGAACAAGGCTTATGCAAGTAATAACTTACACTCACATGCCTTTCTCTTCATCAGGTTATTGGAAAAACCCTTTCAATTATGAAAGTACTAGAGATGGAGAATTCTATGTGGATGAGCAAACAACAGTGACAGTTCCTATGATGAACAAAGATGGCGGGTTTCCAAGTTTCTATGATGGGCAATTGGCCTGCCAGGTGGTGCAGCTCCCTTACAAGGGCAATGCTTCGGCCCTGTTCATTCTGCCTGACAAAGGAAAACTGAAGCAGGTGGAAGATGCTCTGGGGAAGCAGGTTTTGCTGAAATGGCTGAAATCTCTGAAAATACAGTAAGGCTGCAGTCCAATGGGAATGCCCATAAGCCTCCACACTGGCAGGCTTATGGGCACCTTACGCAGGGCGGGGGAAGTAGCAGAAGTGACCTTTGCCTCCATGTTTCTCCTACCTTGGGCAGTTTTGGCCATCTTGCTGTGTCACTCTGGACAAGGAGGGAAGGAGCCCGAATGCTGTCATGATATATCAAAACATTTCCAATTCCAGTTCCTGAAAGAACTGTTTTCCTAAACCATTTATACTTCTGCAAGTTTCACTATTCATGACTCCATTCTAAAGAAATACATTCATGGAAGATATATTATGTCTGGGAGAGGCTGGTCTCCTATGCTTCCCTCCCTGCCCCTGGCCTATCCTTTCTCTGAGATGGCTTGCACGCTTGCATTCTTTCTCTCTTTCTATATATAGAAAGATTCTGTGTATATATAGAAAGAGAGAAAGAGTTTCTCTCTTACTGTATATACTGTAAGTCTAACTCATCCTCTTCCTTCTTTCACCCAGAAACCACACAAACCATCCTTCCCCAACCTGTATCCCTCATCAGAGCCAAACAGGTGGAGTGGTCAAGCGCATCATTCTTCAGAATAATATGTGCTGGCAAGAGATTCAGTCTCAGTCCATGTAATTTGCCTTTACCTATGCAATTAAGACGATGTGAGGTAAGGCAGGTAGCAGTGAGCAGAAGCATCACTGGAGGAAGGAGAACTGCTGGGCACACTGGCACAGTGTACCGCTTGCTTTTGGGTACAGAGGCTTGTCACTACCTTAGGAGGTAGAACACCAGCGAGTGAAACCCTGGGGAACCATTGCTCATTGTCGCAGTGCATGTCTTGCCTAGAGGAAGTCCCAGGTTTATTTGGACCAATGCCTGGTCTAAGGCAGGACCTACCAAGTGCTCCTTCTCCTCCCTAAGAGCAGATACTTCCTATGAGTCCATTTTTGGCCATTGAGCTAAAGTGCTTTGGAGAGGAAGGGCGGGAGGTGCCATCCTGTCAGGATAACCTATACGCTGGTGACCCCAGTCTCAGACTTTCCTTTCACCTCTGTGCAGGTCAGCCACTAAACTTCCTTTTGGCTTTGGTCTAGATGTGTCATTCATGACAGCACTATTCGTGCTTGTCCTTGCTCTTGCCCAGTAGCTTGTTGAGCACCTTCCAACCGGAGAGTCTCATCTTCTCTCTCTTGTTTCATTTTGGGTTGTTTCATCATCAGGTCTTCATAATAAGATGCAGAAGTGGTTTAGCACTGTGCCCTTCTAGACAGTACTAACCAGAGTTCCTTTGGACATCATTGCCTTTGTCTGTGAAATATCCTCTGCCAGTGCCACTTCCAGCTACCACTGTTGCCCAGTAGCTGCCCTTCAGTAGGTTCTCCACCCCCGTCTCCATTAGGGATGTCCGTTCTCTTCTGCTGATGTGGCTGTTACTCCTGAAGAGGGCAGATGCACCCTCAGCTCTGACCATTCCACCTTGGGTGACCCTGCTACAAGATCAGCTCAGTCTGGCCTCCTGGTGGCATCGCTCTCTGCTTCTCTGGCACTCTCAAAACCCCTCACTTCCCCTCAAGGAGAGGACTATATGGTATAGTCTTACACTATATAAAGCAGATGATTGGCTCCAATTTTGGAGCACACAGTTGCCATTAGTGCAAAATGAAAGTTGGTAAGCATGTTTTGATCCAAAGTTATTAACAGGAAATGAACTGTGTGACAATTGGACAGCATATCTAAATTGTCAGTGTTACTTTTAAAATTTAGATTCCAACCCTTCTCACACTGATTGAATTGTGAATTACCAGATAGTATGTCTTCTTAGAATGGTATCTCATCAGCCTCTGGTTCTTCTTTCCACAGGAGAAGGGATATCTTCCTTCCAAGGTTTACCCTCACTACTAGTTATGATGTAAAAGAAGTGCTAGAAAAATTGGGAGTTACTGAGTTATTCTCAAACCAAGCAGATCTATCGGGAATTACTGGAAGTCCTGAGCTGAAGGTTTCCAAGGTAAGCTTCTTTAAATGCTTTAAACTACAAGAACTGAATCTTTGTGTGAAGCAGGGTTAGCCAGCTTAGGCAATCATGTTAGGGAACCAAGCCTGGCCTCACAGAAGGAGTTCCTTCTTGGGGCTCTTTTTCAAAAAACACCCAAGGCTCTTTTCCCAAGGCTGTACTGATTCTGCGCAGAAAGGGGTAATTTCTCAGTGGCATCAAGGAGTAACACTCTACACCCTGGTCCTCAACCTGTCTCTTATCCTCTCTCTACCTCTTCCACCTTCCTCAAAGGTGGTGCACCAGGCTTATATGCTCTTTGGAGTCAGAGTTTGGGCATTGTCAACATCTGCTGAAATAAACCCTAGCAAAGGGGTGGTTTTTGTTGTCGTTGTTGAATACATTTACTTCTCATCTTTCAGTGACATTTCTGTGGTTACCTCAGCTGCATTGACAGGTATGATAGGGTAATAATTAAGGAGATCAAAGGAGAACTGGAGTAATCTATGCCTATCAATGCCATTTACAAGTCTTCTCTTTGAATGCTTCAAGATCTTCAAGTGCTTCTGGGTAAAGAAAAAGCAAAAAGGCGACTTAGACAAGTTAACACTTTAAGAGCCTTTAAGAATGAACAAAAGTTCAAGAATAGACTTTTAAAACTTTCTAATAGAAGGTAAGTTTGAGAGAGGAAAATGAGTTCAAGCTAGGTTAATTCATGAGAAATGAATTAGGGTCATGGAAACACATTGTTTGCAATAGTTTTCATTCTCAGCTGCAACGAAGTCTCCTTTTTAAATTATATTTATAAGCCACCTTTTTCCTTTCAAGGAACTCAAGGTCATTGACATAATTCTTCTCCTCTCAGTCTTATCTAACCACAACCTGGAGAAGTACATTAGGCAGAAGGCCAGTGACCAGCCCAAAATCACCCAATGAGCCTTGTAACTGAGCGGAGACTAGAACCTGGATCTCCTGAATCCCAGTCCAACACCAGCTTTTCCATAGACCCACAGAAGCAGGTTCATTCATTCAGAAATCACCCTAGTGTCTCTGAAAAGAATATTATGCTTGTCATACGGTTGTCAGAATAAACATGCACCAAGGCCTATGCTAGATCTTCTTGCCTTTTGCATAGCTGCTGTTGTCAGGAGCAGAGTCATCATCAGGTAATTGTGAAAACAGCCCCTGCAGATCAGGTCTCCATTTGATCTATTCTCATCATGTCCTGTGACTGGACTCTTCTGAAGAAACAGAGAAGATACCAGTTCTCACCTCATGCAGAGGTCAAGGGATCTTTGCAGCATGAAGTTGGGTGGGTGGGCTTTGGGCATTAGGCTGCCCAAGCCGGGGGGTGACATTAAGGATCAATATACATTCAGGGTCAAGCTCAAAAAAGCAATGTTTTGACTAGCAAAAAGGTAGTTTTAACATTTATTAAATGAAAATATTGTGATATGTGCATTTTAAATTCACAATCATGTTGAGTCTTTCAACCAGCTTAGGACCATTATGAAAATGTCCAGAATTCTGAAAGATTTTTTTATCCCCAAATTCTACTGCCATGATTTTTTTTTTTTTTTTTGGCTATACCTAACCCCATTTTTACTAGTTAACATTAAAAGTAGCTGACTGAAAAATTTGACTAGTTAAGTATCAGCCATTTCTTTAATGTTTTAACTAGTTAATTAATGAGGTAGTTGCCATGACGGTCCTCAAGGTAACCTTGAGCATTCTGAAAGGGGCCTTAAAGAGGCAAAATGGTTTGCAAGCCCAGGTGGAAAGGGAAAGGAGGCACAAGTCAGTAAGGACCACTTTGGAAATGGGTCATCCTGACAAAACTCCCCAAGTTCCAAGCTCCCCAAGTTGGTGCAAAAATGTTATGTGCACAACCCACAAGGTCTGAATTGGAGGGTGTGATTAGTCAATCCAACATGGGAGCAAGAAAGAGCCAGATGGCAACATGGATTCTCTTCTTTGAAGGGCCAGGTTTTGCACTCTCCCATTAATTCCTGTTTCCTTGCTTTGCAGGCAATTCACAAAGCTTACCTGAACGTCCGTGAGAATGGCACTGAAGCAGCTGCCGTCACTGTCATTGACATTGTTCCAACTTCCCTTCCTCCCGTGACTAAATTCAACAGACCCTTCTTCATGATACTCTTCGAAGATATCAGCAGATCCATCTTATTTTTAGGAAAAGTTGGAAATCCTAAAACAGAGTAATGTTCTTTTTGCAATCCTTAACTGTTAAGTGATGCTTGAATAGAAAGAACAGCATGCATAACATTCTGTGTCAGAGTTTTATTTTCTAGGAGTGTCACTGTCAAACTAAAAAGCAATGTGAGGATGAAAATCCATAAGAGTCTTTGTATTCTTGCTCTAGGATCATCCTGCAATTCCAGAAATGTGGAATCATGATGGCAATTAAGTAGCGAAGGACACTACTGTCGTGAGATTGTAACTCACGCATCTAATTAACTCACACAGCAGTAGGCAATAAAACTAAAGTCTTTTATTACTACTTACTACAAGGTTTACGATACAACAGATAAGTACTAATGATGGTCTTAATGGGTCAATTGCCTTCCCCTTTGTGAAGACCTTGGGGAGCCCACGTGGTATTAGCTTTTCCTGTCACATCTTTCCGCTCTTGGGCAGGACAAACCTCTGTCTTGTGTAACCTTTTGTTCCAATCATCTTAGGCTACATCTAAGATTAGCATCAACTAAAGGAGGCACGCCCCCTGTATCTCCTGGACCCTGTCCAGGAGTCATAGCATCAGGAGATGGGGGGGGGGCATCTTGCTTGTGCTCTTGAGAGCCAGAATGAGGAGAAACCTCCCGTTCAGAAGCCTCATGATCAGGCCGTGACGGGCTGTTTGTTCAGAGGGTAAAGGGTCAGGATGTGGGGGAGCTATTTGTTCAGCCGTTCCAGAGTCTGGTTGTGGGGGTGGGGGGGCTTTGGCTACTGGGCCCCAAGTATAAGTCATCTTGCTCTAATGTCTGATTCTCATTTCGAACGTTTGACTCTTTCTCGCGAGGTGACGCCTCTGTCGAGCTGTCGGGCATGACAACTACAGAGAGCCCTTCCCTCATTGTTGGAATAAGCTGGCATAGGGGGGTCCTCTCAGCCGCACCCTTCCCTTCCCCTGCTCAGATGAATCATAGAATCATAGAATAGAAGAGTTGGAAGGGGCCATGAATGCCATCGAGTCCAACCCCCTGCTGTTACAGGACACCAGGTCACACCATCCCACTCAGATGGCTGTCCAGTTTCTTCTTGAATGTCTCTAGTGTGGTAGAGCCCACTACCTCTCTGGACAGCTGGTTCCAATGTCGTATTGCTCTGACAGTGAGGAAGCTTTTTCTGATGTCCAGCCTGACTGGGTTGCCACAACTTGAATTGATTATTCCATGTCCTACATTCTGGCATTAATATGATCTTGACCTTCCTGTTTGTGACAGCCTTTGAAGTACTTATAGAGGGATATCATGTCCCTCCCTCAGTCTTCTCTTCTCAAGGCTGAACATGCCCTGTTCCCTCAGTGTCTCCTCATATGGCATTGTTTCCAAAACCTGGATCATTTTGGTTGCTCTCCACTGGATCATTTCTAATTGACCTGCATCATTCTTAAATCTTGGTGCCCAGAACATGAGTTTGTTCTCTTTATCTTACAATAATTCATGCCAGCTGTAATGCTGAAAAAAATTTCCATTCAAAGGAGGATGTAAAAACAAAAAAACAAAGAAAGAACAAATCCTGCATTATGCCAAACACACCTGAGTCAGATGAGGTTTGCCAGTGGTGGAACTGAAGTGACTAAAGCCACAATCACAGGTTGAATATCACAGGCAAATATTGCATATTTCTTGCCTTACCTTAAATACAATAGGCGTAAAGCAAAGCACAATTTATTTATTTATTTATTTATTTATTTATTTATTTATTTATTGAAACATTTCTATGCCGCCCCTTGCCGAAGCCTCGGGGCGGCTCACAACATCAGGGCGATTGCAATTAAAATCAGTGCAGAGGTATAGCAGCAGTACAGAATAAAGTAAAATTAAAACATTTACTGTGAAAATACTGTGAAAATTAAAGCGTTTTCACCTGGTGCTAAAATGAATCGAGGATAAGCAAAAGATGCACCTCTTTGGGGAGCTCATTCCATAACTGGGGTACCATCACTGAAAAGCCCCTTCTCCTGGTAGCCACCCTCTTTTACTTCCTTTGGAGAGGGTTCCCAGAGAAGAATGCCAGAAGATAAGGGATGAAGCATCCCTTCATATAACCTGTCTCCAAGATGTTTGGGGCTTTAAATGTTAATACTAGCACTATGAATTGGGTCCAGACTTCAACTGGGAGCCAGTGCAGCTGAAAGAGGACTGGAGTGAAGTGTTCTCATGAGCTGGTCCCCCTGAACAAACCTGCAGCCCTGTTTTGGATCAGATGAAGTCTCCAGACCATTTTCAAAGGTAGTCCCATGTACAGCACATTGCAGTAGTCCGAGAGCTTACCAAATGAGAGCTTACCAAAACACGGATTGCTGTAGCTGGACTCCGTCAGTCCAGATAGGGTCACAGTTGATGCATCAACCTAAGCTGATACAAGGTGCTCCATGCCACCGAGTCAACTAGTTCTGGGTCCAGGAACACCCCCAAACCATGAACCTTGCCCATCCAGCACCACCCAGAACAGGCTGAATATCACCCAGCTAGACAGATGACTCACCCAGGAGCAGCAACTCCACCTTGTCTGAACTGAGTCTGTGTATTGGCCCTCATCCAGTCCATTAACAAACCCAGACACTGATTCAGAGCAACCACTGCTTCACCTGGGTTTGAGGGAAAGGAGAAGCAGAGCTCAGTGTCATCTGCATATTGATGACTGTCATGAGTTCTCTCCTATAATTTGTTTGGAAATGGAGTGTCTTTGACTTTCTTGATATCTTCCCCTCTTTCTCTGGGTATGTAACACTGCCACTAGGGATTTAATTCCAATCTTATTCATTAACTTCTCGCACAGTATTGTGCCCAAGCTATAACGCTCCTTTGGCAGACTATGTGGTCCTGACGATGAGAAACAGCCTTTGCCTCTGTTTAACAATAAACAAAATAAAACTTTATTTGTACAAGAAGCGTATTGATTTCAAGATGTTCTGTAACTTATTTCCTTAATAAACAAAACAGTGTGTATTAATAACTCCTGACTGGGGTATCACACTCTTTCCCTTCAGAAACATTTCTCATTCTCAGACTCCTTTTAATTCGTTGGCCAGTATTTTTTTTATCTCAGTTTAATCCTTCCCTTCTGAACAATATTAGGTTTTTACTCTCCCCAGTTACAAAGATGTACTCTATACTAATCCCTTCCCTTCCCTTTAGAATTTTAAATGCTTCTAACAGTACTATCTGGGATTCTAATGAAAAGGCTGCCTCTGTAGTCTGCTGACTGACCACAACGACTTCAATTGCTGACTGACAGAAGAGTACTTATTTCTCTCTCTTCACACACTTCCACGTCCTTCCCACCCACTCTCAGTCACCAGCCTGTCGCCCTCTTTTTACCCTCCTTGCTCTTCTGAAACTTAGCAATATTTAACAGGGGTCCTCAAACTTTTTCAACAGGGGTCCAGTCGACAGGTGCCAGCGGTGTGTGCAGGCCACCAAGGTAGTGCCAGTGGGGGGGGGAGCAGTGTGGGGGAGGGGCGTGCGCACGCGAGGTGAGGCGGGACGGGGCGCGCAAGGGACGAGGCTCTGGCTAGCTCTCGAGGAGATGGTTTTCTCCGAGCGAGTCCAAAACGTCCTCCTTGTGAGCAAGCTGCCACCAGGCACGCACATGGCAAGGCGCCAGCTTGCTCATGAGGAGATCGTTTCCTCTGAGTGAGTCCAAAATGACCTCCTCGTGAGCAAGCCATGCACCCGTGCGTGCACTTGGCGAGTGCAAAACCTGTGGGGTGGGCCAGTTACATGGACATGGTGGGCCTTAGTTTGAGGACCCATGATCTGAAGGAAAGTACTCGTAACACTTTAAAACATTGCAATACCAGCTCAGCCCGTAGCTCTGGATAACCATTCCCAGCAGTGTCATGTAGACGTTAAAAAGCGTGGAAGATAAAATAGAGCCCTACAGTACCCCAGGGCAGAACTGCCATAGCACACAGCAATAATCCCCCAGCACTATCTCCTAGAATTGGTTGGTCAAGTAGGAGTGGAACCACCGCAATGCAGTGCCTCCAGCTCCCAACCTTGCCAGCTGTCCAGAAGTCTACCATGGTCAATGGTATGGAAAGCCTCTGAGAGGTCCAGGAGAACCAACAAGGTCATACTCCCCCTTGTCTCTCTTCCTGCAAAGCTTCCCACAGGGTAACCAAGGCAATCTCAATCCCAAAACCAGGCCTGGAACCCAGTTGAAATGGTTCTAGATTAGAGTGCTGGGAGCTGTTCAGCCACTCAACCACCTTGCCCAGGAAGAGAATATTGGCCACATGCTATAGTTGTTGACATCTTTATTGCAATGCATTTTAACGTATTCTCTCTGCAACGCACATTCATATGGTAAGGGACATATACGTACTCATGTTTAGTCATCATGATCACTGTCACCAGCAGCACCACTACCATCTTCACAAGTATCAGTAGAAATGAAATGCCAGGCAGAATTTAGTTCAAAGCAGAAGTTTAGAATCATATTGGACAGCCATGTGAGTGGGATGGTGTAACGTGGTGTCCTGCAACAGCAGGGGGTCAGACCTCATGGTCTTCATGGCCCCTTTCAACTCTATTATTCTACAAATCTATGATTCACACAGAAGTGAATAAAGGACTGGTCTACGGTTTGCTCATCTCATAGAATTACAAGCAGTCCCTGGGCTACAAATGAGTTCCATTCCTGAGGAAAAGGAAAGTCGCCTTTAAGTTTAATTTGTATGCAAATTGGATAGTTGCATACAAATTGTGAAAGTTGAAAAATCACAAATATCTCTTCCCAGCTACCCTCTGCCGAAACTCACCAACGCCTCCACATTGCAACGAGGAAATGCCGGAGGGATTTCCCTCTCCAGATGGGAAGAGCAGGAGGGCGTGCTTGGGAGCCCTCCCTCTCTGCCGCTTTTGCTTGCTCTCTGTCTATGGTGATGACAATTTCTTGCAGTAATTTGCATTTAATTAATAGGATTCATGGCAGTTGGTTCATAAGTACAGACTGTTTGTAACATGGATGTT